TCCAATATCTCAATCTTAATTTTCTAATTTTTTGATTTAACAAAAAAAATTCAGCATTTATTGGCTTCTCCCAACCCACAAGTCTTTTTGACTTCTCTCATATCTACTGCCGCACCATTTTCAACTTCTCTTATACACTATAGTTAGTGATAAGATTATTAAATTATTTTTTATAAAAAATCTAAAAAAATAATTTGTATATTAAAAAAATATCTAAAAAAAATATAAATTCTTATTAAAAAATAACATGTTGAAATTGCGAAATTTTTTTTTAAAAAAATACACTATAAAAACAATTTGTATATTAAAAAATTCTAAAACAAATATAAATTCTTATTAAAAAAATAACATGTTGCAATTGTGAAAAAAAAAAAAGAGAAAAAATTAAACTATACATTTCATTAAAATCTATAAAAAAAAATGTATATAAAAAAATTTCTAAAACAAATATAAATTCTTATTAAAAAATAACATGTTACAATTGCGGAAAAAAAAGAGAAAAAAATTACACTGTAAAAAATAATTTGTATATTAAATAATATCTAAAACAAATATAAATTCTTATTAAAAAATAACATGTTGCAATTGCGGAAAAAAAAAAGAAAAAAAAAATTACACTGTGCGTTTCATTAATAATGCTAAAAAATGTGCCAAGTATTTATATAAAGGCTTGACACGTGTCCACTCTCAAATTATCAAGTGAATATAATGAAATCAAAGAACTCGGCTTTAATGGCTAATAAATATTAGAAGCCCGACCGTTGAAACCCAATAACTATTAATTAATAGAATTCAACAATTAAAAGGTCTCCAACCATATTTCTTTGTCTTTTCAGATGCTCCATTTTTTTGGTTCCTGCATTCATTCTAATAGTGATAGAGAATTGGACGTGTGGAAGAGTGAGAGACATTAAAATTATATATTAAGTTATGTAATTGTTGTGATGAAAAATAAAGTTGTCTTCCTCTTCTATGGCGATTTATCTGGTTATATCTTAAATTAAAATATCAGGTGTGCTTCTACATTATTATTGAACATTGCTTTCATTTTTTTTAGATACTTTGTCTCACAATTGCTTGTGTTTTGTGTTATGAAATTTATTATATTTGGGTTTAATAAAGCTGTTAAATGGACCTAATGTAAGAAGTGCAAATTATTTTAATGTCATTCTCGGGATTAGAAATACAAAAAATATACACAAAAAGTATATGAATAGATAAGATTTTACAAAATTTGTTTGTAAGTCTCACTTCTTGAAAATTCTATAATTCATTTATTTTTGTATTATATTTTATATTTGGTTCTCTACTCTCTTTTTTTTTTTTTTTTTGTATATAGTTTTATTTGTTTTTTTTTGGTTGTTGTTATATAGTTTTATTTGTTTTCTTTAAAAGTTTATTTTTAAAAATTAATTAATAAATAAATAAAACATTTTCTATTTCAAACAATTTCATTTTTTTTCTCTTGAAGTAGTTTTAGTTTTGGGCAATTCTTACTTTTTTTTTCTTCTATATATTGTAATTTTGTGCATTTTAAGTATATGATGTTTTTTTTGGTTGTTGTTATATAGTTTTATTTGTTTTCTTTAAAAGTTTATTTTTAAAAATTAATTAATAAATAAATAAAACATTTTCTATTTCAAACAATTTCATTTTTTTTTTCTCTTGAAGTAGTTTTAGTTTTGGGCAATTACTTACTTTTTTTTTTCTTCTATATATTGTAATTTTATGCATTTTAAGTATATGATGTTTTCACTAATACATTTAGAGGTGCACTAAGTATCATGTGAAAATCAAGCAAAAATAAGAAAAATGAATAAAATAATACGATGAATGTGGATCAAAGATCAAAACTCTTAAAACAAGCAAGTAAACAAACAAGCAAACAGAATAGAATGTTTAACAATAGACATTTGAAAATTTGTAACAAAATTTTATAACTTTCCTTTTTTTAAAGAAAATTCTATTTGATACTAGCTAAATAAAATGCTTTTAATAAATATATTTTGTTTTTTTAAAATTTGAAATTAAAACTATAGTAAATTTATGTAAGCATAATTGTGAACCACATTTTTTTTACTTAATGTATAATATTTATATTGATTACCTTTTTCAGGTTTATTTTTAAAGTATTTATACAGAAATAAAAAAAAAATGTCATTATGAATAAATTTTTCTTTAATTTAGTTATAAATTGTCTGTACATTATTTTAAAATTTTCAATAAAAGCAAACATAAAATAATTGATTAAAGATATGATGCATTTATTATATTCCTTTTTGAGAAAATTAATCTAAGGTCCTTATTCTATTTTTAGTAATGGAAGAGATTCACAATATTATTTTATGATATCTAAAGTCCCTCAACCCCATATCCATATATCACAGAGAAATTTGAATCTCTCAAATCAAATCTCATCTTTCTCTCTCTCTCTCTCTCTCTCTCTATATATATATATATATAAACTCTCTTTTCCTCTCTGCTAAATTCAACTCAACCATGACAACTTGCTGTGTTACAGAGGCTCGCAACTATTTCGACGCTGGAAAACTCATCAGATCCAAATCCCGAACCCAGTTCAGAGCCATGCACTGGTTTTCTCGACCGCAATAGTTTCTCGACAGAGATTATTGAGAATATATCGCTGGAAAATCTCCAATCGACAGTGAAGATTTGCATCGACGGTCTTCGATCGTCGTCAACCGCTGTGAAGAGATCGGCGGCGATGAAACTGAGACTTCTCGCCGAAGATCTTTCGAGTCAGAGATGAGCAAAGCTTCTTTCGCACGATGAACAAAGATGTGCTGCAAAAAATATGTATGAATATATATAAATATGTGTTGTATATATATATATATATATATGGTGTGTGTTTTGAGTTGTAGGTTGCAAAAATTTGAACTTTTTAGTATTGGCAGTGGAAAATTGAGTTATCCCCACCTACAGATTAGTTGACATTTTCCAAAAATTTTACGAACAGAACTTATTTTTATATTTTCCATTCAGTATACCTGCGCAGATCTACAGATCCAATGACCCAAGAACACGTAGTGACGGCCTTGTTGAATCTCTCATTTCTGGAAGGGAACAAGGCTTGAATTCTCATTTCTTTGCCATGTGTAATTTTCTCTAGTTTAATTTTTTCTACCTTGTTTAATTTTCTCTGGATTTCTCTGGTTTGAACTCAGAGAAATTTCAATTTCCTCTAGGTTTGGGAAGTCCAGAATTTCTCAATTTTCTCTGGTTTGAAACCACCACTCAGACCAATTTTCTCTAGTTTGAAGCCACCACTCAGACCACCACTGTATTCATCAAAAGCAGTGGTAGAGACATCAAAGATGAATTGTGGGAAAAGAGTACTAAAATTTTGAAGAGATTTACAAACTAGAAAAATTTGTGTAAACCAGAAAAATGGAAGATGTGAAGCTTGAAACCATCATTGAAAAATCTAGAAATCTTCTAGATATTGATTTGTGAATATGTATCAATTTTAAGTAGTAAATATCAATCCTAATCAAACAATCAAGACAAATCAACACAACGATTTTAACGTGAAAAAATCACAATTTGAGCACCTCCAATTGTGATAAAAACCATGGGCCAAAGCCACAAAGCAATCCACTAAGAAGACAAAAGGAATTACACAAGTGCACTCTCAATTACCTAGGGAATCCACGCCCGAATTGAACCAACCCCTATATGCCTCTTCCACCACGGTCTTCACCTTGGAATTGTCTTGTCCAACGTTGAATCCACAACGTCGATGTCGAATCCGCGACGATGAGCCACTCCAGAATCCACCAAAGCTTCAGGCCCAAATTTTCACGGAATCCACCGAAGAACAACTCTTTCTTTTGTATTGAATAAATTAAACAAACAAACCCTTTGATATAATCCATTCAATTCATGATTAATCTCTCACAGATATTAAAGAAAACAAGCAAAGAAGCTCTAAAAGAAAACCCTAATACCAAGAAGAAGATCTGGAAGCCGTAACCCTAAAATCTAAATGAATTACATATTTATAGAAAATAGATTCGCGATCTCCGCTCGAGCGTAAGAATGACAGCTCGAGTGGACAAACAACTTCGATTGCAATTTTACTTTTTGCTTTAGGGGCGCTGTCTCTCGACCCCGCCTGGGCACTGCCCCAGACCCGCTAAGGGGCGCTATCTCTTGGACCCCCGCGAGCTGACCGGGCAGCTCGATCCCCGACATAGTCCGCGAAAGTGGAAAATATGAAAGAATTAACTTCTGAAACATTTCTACAAGACACAATTTTGCTTGGATTTGCATCTAAAATTCAAAGTCTCACTGAAATAAAAGACCGAATACAATTACAATTGAAAAAGAGTTTTGTCAAACGGGATTGCCAAGAATAAAAACCTAACAATCATGAACACACCACTCTTACAGCTGCAAATAGGCCAGCAGGTTGAATAGGTCAGGCCAAAATGTCATACATTATGTGACTTGATGAAGACTTTACAGTGCGGAATTGGAGAGTTACCTCATATATGGTAAGATCTTTGGCAATATTCTTTAGATTACCCTTGAATTTTCTCTAGATTTGGCAATTTTCTCTGGCTTACCCTTGAATTTTTTCTGAATTTGGCAATTTTCTATTGAGAGACCTTAGACATTATGAAAATATTAGATGCTCTTTATATTATAAAATCTTAATATTAGGGACTTTAAAAAAAATTTCCAAATTATATGTAAAAAAAAATTAAAAATTACAATTTACATACATATACAAATAATTATAAACCCAAGCAATTTCGCCAAATACTATTTGTCCGAAGTACACACATGGAACCTCATTTTTTTGGTTTGAACAACAGCACAACACACATGGAACTTTGAAGCATTGGAAACGCAACGGCATTAAAACGACGTGGAGCAGAGAAGTCTCTCAAAGTTAGAGACAGCGAGGCATTTGCTTTGACTGAAAAAAAACACTTCCCCCCTTAAGAGCTCCATTAATTTGAAGCGCTGGTGCTCGGCTAACCCACCTGTCTCGAATTTTTTCATTCTATAATTTACTCTCTCTCTCTCGCCATTCACTCGGACCTCATATAAACCTTCTCTTCTCTTTTCCTTTCCTTTCTCTTTCTTAATTACTTTAATCTCTGTTAAAAGTTTCTTCCATTGCCTCTCAAAGCTTGTAGCTTTGCACCTCTCTCTCTCTCTCTCTCTCCAGGTATCGGAAGCGTGCTTTCAGATTTGGCATAGAAAGCTTTTGCCTTTATTGATCAAAGATCTATATATATATATATATATACAGGCACAAAGAGATTTTGCTTTTCCATCAGCGACATGGTTCGATCTGTCCTCTCTTGTTGTTAGGTATGTATCTCACTCACTATTTCTACTGATTTCACTTGTCGATTCTACTTCGTGAAGTCATTTGCTTTGAAATGTCGATTTCAGGTTGTTAATCTATAATTTCACCTAACTTGCATTTCTTCCATGGCTTATTTTTCGTTTCGAATTTAAAACTTGGAGATCTGGTGATAAATCCATGGAGAAAATTCATAGCAATTTTATCACATTTTGCAGTATGGTTTGAAGGTTGTGATTTGAAGGCAATGTTGTGTTGTTCTACTAATAGTTCTTTGCTTAGAGTCCACATACTTTTACTTGTTTTGAACTGCTTCAAAATGTCTCTCCAACTTGTTTCAGTTTTGTAACCTCAAGATCTATGCTTAATACTAAGCTAGCTAGTCAAATCAAGGCTGATAGAGTTTGCGTTTCTTGCCTCTTTCTTTGAAGATGATTTATTGTTATGAAATGAATTCAGTTTTGTTTTTTTTGTTGGTCTTTTAAAATACAAAAATTTTGACCTGATTGGAACTATATCAAGATTTTCTGTACAGGCAATTTAATGTTGTTTTCATCATTCTAATTTTGGATCTAAGGATAAATCTGTGATGTTGATTAAAAATATAATGATGGAATTTGAATTTTCATACTTTGCTGAAATTTCAGGATTTGGGGATAAGTTACTTGTATTGTTAAAACATGACATCGAGATCCTTCAAGGTGAGCCGGTCATCTCTATCGACGACCTCGGATGTGCCAGATTCACAAAATGTTAGGCCTCCCCTGCCACCAAGTGTGGCTTTTGAGCGGAGAACTTCATCAGGACGATATATTAGTTATTCAAGGGATGACCTTGATAGTGAACTTGGGAGCTGTGATTTTATGAACTACACGGTACACTTACCGCCAACCCCTGATAACCAGCCAATGGATTCGATCTCTCAGAAGGTTGAAGAGCAATACGTGTCAAATTCACTTTTTACCGGTGGATTCAATAGTGTTACACGAGCTCATCTTATGGACAAGGTGATCGAATCAGAGGCAAATCATCCACAAATGGCTGGTGCAAAAGGATCTTCATGTGCAATTCCTGGGTGTGATGCTAAGGTGATGAGTGATGAACGGGGTGTGGATATTCTCCCTTGTGAATGTGACTTCAAGATATGTAGAGATTGTTATTTGGATGCAGTTAAAACCAACGACGGCACTTGCCCGGGGTGCAAAGAGCAATTCAAGACCATGGATTTGGATGAAGTGATGGAAAATCGGAGACCACTTCCACTTCCGCCACCAGCTGAGATGTCCAAAATGCAGAGGAGGTTGTCATTGATGAAATCAACAAAATCAGTGCTAATGAGGAGCCAGACTGGAGACTTTGATCACAATCGGTGGCTCTTTGAAACTAGGGGCACCTATGGGTATGGAAATGCTATATGGCCAAAGGGGGGAGAATTAGGAAATGGAAAAGACGGTGAGGTAGTTGAGCCTTCAGAATTAATGAGCAAACCATGGAGGCCACTAACGCGCAAATTAAAGATACCAGCAGCCATTATCAGCCCATATCGGTACATTTTCTGCTTCGTGAATTATTCTTATCTAACTTGTTAAAGTGTTACCTAGATGACTAGTGCTTCCAATTGATATTATCTAGTTTTTGAAATCACCATCTTGCCATAATTTGATTCCATGGGTGGGGCGCGTTGGTCAATATCCCAAAATTCACATTGCAACATAAACGAGACAGCCAACTAATTTGGTTGATAGATTTTGGATGACATGTTCAAATAAATTTCTACTTTACTGGTGTGTTTTAAGTAATTTATTTAACTCATGTTGTTCTAGTTTGTTTTATTTATTTATATGTGATGCCAAGAAGTAATTGGTTTATTTATACTACAATGGAACGATCAATAAAAACTAATCTACTACATTTTAGCACATCCAAAATCTCACCTAAATGCCCATGCCAGTTGATTATCAGTTGGTCCATCAGGAGTCATTTGCATATCCATGCTGGCTTGCTATTGAAATTAGAACAGATGGAGTTGCTTAATATAAAGCAGGGAAGCTTGATTCACAAGAAATACGCTAGTCATACCATCCATTCAACAAATATATGACTTGGTGGCAGAATTACAAATTCAATGGATTACATGTTTATCGTTACTTCCACACACTTGGGATTGGGATTGTGACTTCAAGCATGATCTACAATGTTCTGTGGGTAACTCTGTTGGTGTATGTAATTTTTTACTCTGAGATGTGCATGTGTGCATTGGTATATGTTATTATTTCTGCACAGTACATTGATTGTCTGGTGTTGTTATTGACTTACCTTCCAATTTGTTTGATTTACCATATTTTTGAACGGTCCGTTTCATGTGATGCATACTCATGAATATTTTTGGCTCTGTTGTGTCTGTGCTCTCAGGCTTCTGATTGCTATTCGATTGGTTGTTCTTGGGTTTTTCTTGGCATGGAGGATCAAACACCCAAACAATGACGCAGTCTGGTTATGGGGGATGTCCGTTGTCTGCGAAATATGGTTTGCCTTCTCTTGGATTCTTGACCAATTGCCTAAGCTCTGCCCTGTGAATCGTGCTACAGATCTTAACGTCTTAAAAGAGAAGTTTGAAATGCCTAGCCCCAACAACCCCACTGGAAAATCTGATCTCCCAGGCATAGATATCTTTGTCTCTACTGCAGATCCAGAGAAAGAGCCCCCTCTTGTCACATCCAATACCATCTTATCTATTCTGGCTGCTGATTATCCAGTTGAAAAACTTGCTTGCTTTGTTTCTGATGATGGAGGTGCGCTTTTAACCTTTGAGGCCATGGCAGAAGCAGCAAGCTTCGCTAATACATGGGTCCCATTTTGCCGTAAACATGACATTGAGCCCAGGAACCCAGAAACTTATTTCAATTTGAAGAGAGATCCTTATAAGAACAAGGTGAAGGCGGACTTTGTCAAGGATCGTAGACGGGTAAAACGTGAGTATGATGAGTTTAAGGTCCGTATCAATGGCCTGCCTGACTCAATCCGACGTCGTTCTGATGCCTATCATGCTCGAGAGGAAATAAAGGCCATGAAGCAACAGAGACAGAAGACAGATGATGAACCCGTGGAGATTGTGAAGATCCCAAAAGCCACTTGGATGGCTGATGGAACCCACTGGCCGGGGACTTGGCTAAGTTCTGGACCAGAACACTCTAAAGGCGATCATGCTGGAATAATGCAGGTATTGTTTAATTTTGTGATGAAACTGATGCAATTGTTACATTAAAGAAGGCACTAGGACATAAAAGAAGTGAAATAGAGCTAAGCATGGCATTCTTGAATGATGCAGGTGATGTTGAAACCTCCAAGTGATGAACCACTACAGGGCACAGCTGATGATACCAGGTTAATTGACCTGAGTGATGTTGATATTCGTCTTCCAATGCTTGTATATGTTTCCCGTGAGAAACGTCCTGGATATGATCACAACAAGAAAGCAGGAGCCATGAATGCCCTTGTTCGAGCCTCTGCAATCATGTCTAATGGGCCCTTTATTCTTAACCTTGATTGTGATCACTACATCTATAACTCCCAGGCTCTGAAGGAAGGCATGTGTTTCATGATGGATAGAGGTGGAGATCGCCTTTGCTATGTCCAATTCCCTCAGAGGTTTGAGGGTATTGACCCTAGTGATCGGTATGCCAATCATAACACTGTCTTCTTTGATGGCAACATGCGGGCCCTTGATGGGCTCCAGGGTCCAGTATATGTTGGTACTGGATGCCTCTTTCGAAGGATTGCCCTGTATGGTTTTGATCCACCTCGATCAAAAGAACACCACCCTGGCTTCTGCAGCTGTTGCTTCCCTCGTAAGAAGCGTGCCACAGTTGCAGAAGAAAACCGGTCCCTGAGAATGGGTGATTCCGATGATGAAGAGATGAACCTTTCCCTAGCTCCTAAGAAGTTTGGAAACTCGACTTTCCTCATCGATTCAATCCCAGTAGCCGAGTTCCAAGGCCGTCCCCTTGCAGACCATCCGGCCGTGAAGAATGGACGGCCTCCTGGTGCTCTCACCATTCCCCGAGAGCTTCTTGACGCATCAACTGTGGCAGAGGCAATCAGCGTCATCTCGTGCTGGTATGAGGATAAGACTGAGTGGGGACAGCGTGTTGGATGGATTTACGGGTCTGTCACTGAAGATGTGGTCACAGGGTATAGGATGCACAATAGGGGATGGAAATCAGTTTACTGTGTGACGAAACGGGATGCTTTCCGTGGGTCTGCCCCAATCAATCTCACAGATAGGCTCCATCAGGTTCTCCGCTGGGCTACTGGCTCAGTTGAGATCTTCTTCTCCCGCAACAATGCCCTCTTCGCAAGCTCAAAAATGAAGTTATTGCAAAGAATTGCATACCTCAATGTTGGAATCTACCCTTTTACCTCCATCTTCCTAATTGTCTATTGTTTTCTACCTGCACTATCTCTCTTCTCTGGCCAGTTTATTGTCCAAACCCTGAACGTGACTTTCCTTGTTTACCTTCTTTTGATCACTGTTACACTATGTATGCTTGCGGTGCTTGAGATCAAATGGTCGGGAATCGAGCTAGAAGAGTGGTGGAGGAACGAACAGTTTTGGTTGATCGGAGGAACCAGTGCTCACTTGGCTGCTGTGATTCAGGGGCTACTCAAAGTCATTGCAGGAATTGAAATCTCTTTCACTTTGACATCGAAATCAGGTGGTGATGACGAGGATGATGAGTTTGCTGATCTCTACATCGTCAAATGGACATCCCTTATGATTCCACCAATCACAATTATGATGATAAACTTGATTGCAATAGCAGTTGGAGTTAGTCGAACAATTTATAGCACTATACCTCAGTGGAGCCGCTTACTAGGTGGAGTTTTCTTTAGTTTTTGGGTTTTGGCACATCTGTATCCATTTGCAAAAGGGCTCATGGGAAGAAGAGGAAGGACTCCAACCATTGTTTTTGTTTGGTCGGGACTTGTTGCGATCATCATATCCCTCCTTTGGGTGGCAATCAATCCTCCATCAGGCACTAACCAGATTGGAGGCTCTTTCCAGTTTCCCTGATAAGTGATGTTTCTTAGTCAATCAGTTTAGCAATATTCCTTCATTTAGTTTTTTTTTTTTTTAATTTTTTTCTCTACAAATTGATGGACTGGGCATGAAAATTGAGATAATGGTTTTAGCAACATTTTAGTTTTATTTTTGCATGTGCCTGAAATGAATTATTATTCATTTGAGCATTTCAGTCTTTACATGGCGAATTAAGCATTGCACTTCAGTGCATTATTTTGGATTTTGGTGAGGTGATTGTGGAAAGTTGCTGAATCCTGACTTACAGTTTACTTCATCTTCTATCCTGAGAATTATAAGTTGAATTATCAAGTTTCACTTAGTTGCTGGAAATTTTAATGTGCATAGTGATGGAGTAATCAGAAGCTGCTCCAACTTTCTGATAATTAGTATTTTCAGTTTATCTAATTCATTGAGCACATATGCAGTATGCAGTAAGTAGAAGCTACCTACCTGTACACACCTGTATAAGTTGGTGGCTTTTCCTATATTAAGCCTATTTTGTATCTTAATTCCCAAACTAGGCTTAGTTTGGATGAAATTTCCAAACTAGGCTAAAGCGCTATTATAAATCGCGCTTTCACTGTTTGGAGCATAAAATTTGATGAATAGTGAAAGCGCTATTACAAAATGTGTTTTTAATTAAGAAAATGCTATTACAAAACGCGCTTTCACTGTGCATATGAAGAAAACGCGGTTCCAAACCACGCTTTTACTGTGTATATCTGTTTTCTTAAGAAAACTTTTAAAATATATTAAAATGTAATCAAAATAAATCTTAAGTTCTTTGAAGCTCAAATGGTAGTGCATTGATTTTGCCACGCCTCTGCACAGGTTCAAACCACATGCACAGCAACTCCAAACAATTGCTATCCAAAATGAAATTCAACTTTATTTGTTTATTTATTTTTTCTTTTTTTTCCTTCCACTCACTCTATACTCTATATATTTATTATGTAATTTTTTTATCAAAAAAAAGTAAAATGTTTGTTTGGTTAAATATTTTAAAAAATTAAAAATAAACAATTTATTTATTTAAAAAATTAAATAAACAATTTATTTATTTTTAAAGAATTATATAAAGTAGTATACTATTTATACTATCATCACATCACACGTATAAATAATATACTCACTTAGACGTATTATACTATCATCACATCGCACGTATACTACTTTTTTTTTTTTTATTTTTTTCTTTTTAATGGTTGGTGGGCAATTATTGCCGAACACTCTTATGAAACGGATAGACCTTGTTTTGTTGCTATACAAGTTTGGAAAGTGACTTTCTCCATATCAAGTCCGTAGTTTTAATAATCACAACTGATTTTTTTTTTTTTAATTTTAATTTTTTTCCTTTTTTG